TTTATAAACACAATTTTCAAACTAAACAAAATAATTGAGATATTATTCATATTCTAAATTACCTAACCAAACTTAAAAATATTAATTACACTATACATAAAGTCAAATCATATTCAAATAATACTCTATATAATATTGCTGACACCTTAACTAAACAAGATATAAAAAAAACTGAACTAAAATATAATCTTAATTATTTTTATTTACCTAACTTCTTTACTTAGAAAGAAATACTAATTATATACAAACTTTGTAAATTCTGCAAAAATCTCTTTTTTATTTAAACATTTAACAAACTTCTTCAACTTAAACTATTATAAAATCTTTCTACTATAAATATTCTACTATTTACTAAAATTATTAACTTCTAAAATTCTAATTTAAAACTTTATTCTATTAGAAATAAAATTTTTTTTAATAATTTATCAACAATCTTAAATTTAAATATTCATTATCCTCTACTTTACTTAACTTTAAACTGCTTTTATTATAACTAATATAAAAATATCAAACATCTACTCTAAAGCTTACTTCATTTTTACAACTCACAAAACATTCTTATTAATAAAACTACTAATATTTTAAACTTATTAAACTTTTCTAAAGCTTCACCATACACAATAATTCAAATTCTCAATACACAATATCTTTTTTTTAAATTTTACTATATATAATACAATACTCTTACTTATTTAAGACACAATAACACTTGATCAATATAAACAACTTCAACAAATTTTAAAAATCTAACAATTTTCTTATTTTTTTATCTAACTTTTTACTCAACTAGTTCAACTCTATTATCTGCAAACTCAAAATACTAAACAATATAAATAGGAATCAGTATAAGAAATCACTGCCCTTACTAAAAAGAAAAATAATACTTAATTACTTATTATACAACCTTCTAACTTTAATAATAATATATTTATATTTATATTTAATATTAATATAGACCAACTTATTTTTAAAACTCTTTTTCAAAATTTTACTATATATATCTGCTTTTACTAACTAAAACAATCTTAAAGGTTCTTTTCACTCTCTTATATAGTTAATAATTACAATAGTTGATTTAACTAAAATAGAAAATTAAAGATTAATATCATGCTAGATGTTATTATATATATAGTAACAATAGTATAGTTTAGGAATATCTTATTTATATATTTATATCCAATTAATATATTCATGTATTATTATTTTTTCTACTTGATATTATATAATAATAATAATAATAATAATAAAAACTTTGTTTTAATATAATTTAAAATTTTTTTTTAAACTTTGGCAACATTGCCAGTTAGTTTATTAGACTTAATTTTTATAGTACAATTATAGTTACAGGATTATTTAGTACCATATAGCTATTCTAAGCTATCTTAATTCTATTTTACTAACTTCATCTAGTTATCTATATGGCACCTAAGTTTGTGTTCACCACATGTCTGCATGCAGTTACTTTTAGTTATTACTTGCAGTCAGAATATACTATTAAACTGCTACATAGACAAGAATACCTTTACAACTTAATATGATATTTTAATGCCAGAAATACTGTCTTTTGTAATCATATTTATATGTCCTATTTATATGTTTTATTTGATCTTGTTTCTTTTGCCTTTTAATTTAACTATATTAAGTAATATCTTGTTTTCTACATTTCTTATCTTTTTGTTATTGTACTATTCCCAACTTGGTCTTACTCAGATATGTCTAATCCTTATAATCTTTTATTTTTGATATGTTTGTTATTGTTTTCTCTAAGATTTTTTGACAATAATTCAGAATCTGCAATGAACTCATATCTTAAATCAGACCTGCTGCTGCCACTAGTCTTTTTGACCAATCTGTATCTCAAGCCAGGTCTGCTGCCACTGTTTTTACAGATGTCTTAGATCTTAACTTAATGCTATATATTACTTTCAACATGGTGCTTCTTTTTATAATAAGAACTAAAACTTATTATACTCATAATCAGAACAATTCTAATTATATTTAGAGAGTTTTTTTAACTTCAATAATATTATACTACTATATATTGCAAGCTTTTATCTTATTTAATAATATCTGCAAGACAATTTTAATTATATATAAAAAGTTATACTGATCTCAGTGATGCTATACTATCTTGCAGATCTTATCTTATATTGGTTGGTTAATCTCAGTTTTGTTCATTATAGACTTCTATATAGATATAACCAGAATCTAATTTGGTGACTTTTCTTCACACAAGGAATTATACACCAACCTTCAAGGTTTTTTTTTTATAGTTAAATTATTTGGCTATATCAGAGATGTTTTTAGTTTTGGTCAAGACAAACTTTTATTACAGGCTGTCTTCATGTTTACTGCTTCTCTTACCATTTCAGTTATAATTATTCTTATATTATTCTTCCAATCAAATTTTCTCTTTGAATTCTAATTAGAACTTATTCACAAAATTTGTTGATTATTCTTCTAAGTAAGTACTTTACAAGTTGAAAACAGAAATGTTGAAACTGCCTTTATTAGAAGATATAAGAATGTTGGTGCTACTCTAGTTTTAAAGACTTATATGTACAATCTTTCTATAATCATAACCTTCTATAATGTCACTATTATACATAGTGCCTACACTCTATAATTAAGTTTCTTTCTAGAAATTTCTTTATTTCAAATTTGTATTTGTATTTAGACTTTTTTCACAAGCTTTATATTCGATTAATGGCTCTAATAAAATATAGAGACAAAATTGTCTTTAGTTTAACTCAAATTATTAATCTTATCTATGAAGGATTAGAAGCTTACTACTAAGCTATAAGACCTAAATTCTATAATTTAAATTTTATATATAGTAATAATCTTTTATTGTTGTTATTAAGATAAGTTCATGTTACATTTTAATTAATTTGTATAACTATTAATATAGTGTTTTCTATACTACATTACTATGTTTTGAGCATTATAAATATTTTTAATAAATCTTCTTGTTAATTATTCAAATATAAGATTATTATATTGTAAATAGTATAATAAGTTATATATATTATTATATATAAATTCTAGTATATATAAATAATTTTAGTTTTTTGCTAATTCATCTATTATATTATTAAATATATTATTACTTTGTGCAGCTATTTTTTAAATATTGACTTCAATTCAGTAATTTTAATTAGATTTAGTAAAATATATTATATTGTCTAATAATTATAAGAATATTATTTGTTTAGTGTTAAGTAATTTAAAAAATTTGTTATATTTAAATATTATAGATTAGAAGTTTGTAAATATTATAATTTAGAACAGGTACTAATTGCAAATCGAATTCAATAAGTTTAGCTTTGTATAAAGAAAACCAAAACTTAATTTCTATTAAATAGTTTTGTAGTTATATTATTTTGAATTTGAACTTAACTAATCTTTATTTTATATTATTTAGATATAATATATATTACTGATCTATCAATATAATAACTTAATTGTAAATAGTTAAGATTATATTATACAATTTGTTGTAATATTTTTATAAAATAATTATCATTAAATATTTTAAATATTAAGTTATTGTGAATTATATTATAGAAAATGTAGGTATTATAATAAAATGTCTTAGTGCAATTAAATATTATAGATTTAATAGATTAGAATGTAGATTAAGTTTTTTAAATAAATTTTATAGACAATTCTTTTCAATAATTTGGTTATAAAACTAGTTATGATTTCAAATATATATTTGTTTTGTATATAATTAAAGTTCATAAAGCATTTTTAACATTTTTTGCAGATATAATCTGAATGGTTAACTTTTTATAAAGTGTTTCAAAAATAATAATAACAGCTGTAATATATTATAAAAAAAAGTTTAATTATTAGAAGACTGATTAATCAAAAAATCATGAAATTAGTATTATTTTTAAATTTTAATCTGAATTTAAAGTCAACAGTCATTATAATATTAGTTGATATTAATTTGATCAGAATTTGCAGATCATAATTCTGGCTGACTTTATATAATTCCAACCAATCGCAGAATTTTTGCAAAATTATCATTTTATTATAACAGAATTGCATCATCACAAGATAGGTAAGGCATAACAAAAAAATATTGTATTGACATAAATGCTAACTACTTCCAACCTAATAATACAATTTATATATTATTTTAGAAAAGATTATTAACAGTTAATAATTATTTCATCATAATATATAATTTAAATAATTAGGTTAGAAGTAGTCAGTGATCACATCATTATAACATTTTTCTGCTATAACTAACCTACATGTCATTACATTTTTGTTTTTTATCAATAAGTTTGCAACACAAGTTTCCTGAACTACAAATCAAATTCAAGATCAGGCATAATATAACATAATTAAAATAAATATTTGTTTTGTGAAAATCTCAAAAATCAGCATAAGAAATCACTTTATTTTACTATGTAGACTAATGTTACAACTTAAATCCTTTACTAAAATCTGAAACTTTTCAGATTTTGAGTTTTAGTTTTGCCTAAAATCTGAAACATCTGAAACTAGATAAAACATCTGAAACTAGGTAAAATGTCTGAAACTGGACAAAATGTCTGAAACTGGATGAAACATCTAAAACTAGGTGAAATATCTAAAACTAAGCAAAACATTCAAAACTGGGTAAAACTAGGTGAAACTAACGAAATTTGATCTTATCTTTACCAAAATCAACATAACATGTGACAAAACTTCGCTACAACGATTTCTAAAAGTCATGTGTTCGCTGCACTTAAAATTGACCAATAGAATTTTAGAAATTCCATTGGTCGATTTTAAATGCAGCAGACACGTAACTTTTAGAAATTGTCGTATCAAAGTCTGCGTCACGTGTTATGTTGATTTTGATAGAGATAAGATCAAGTTTCGCCCAGTTTCGGACGTTTCGGACTTGGCACCTTGGGCGAAACTAGGTTTCGGAGGTTTCGGAGGTTTCGGAAGTTTCGCCTGGCCGAAAGTTTCGGTTTAGGCCGTAACACTAATGTAGACTACTCTCCTTTGATTCCAACCCTGACCCTAATCCTAACATAAACGAACTTTAAAGGATTGCTGTTGTGCCATAAACCTGGCACACATTCAAGAATTGCTTTTCTTTCACAAAGTTGCGCTGATTGGCTAAAATTTTTCATTGATGGATTACAAAAAACAACCGTTCAAACACTTTACTCTTTTGGATCTTCAAAATCGTAATCAGCTCTTATGTTAAAAAATCTTCGCTACGAATTTCACGAATAGCCATACTTATCATATTCTCGCCTTTATTTATATGGCACTAAATACAACCATTTCATTCATTCTTCCTTCACAATATGTAATGACTCAACGTTAGTCAAAGCTAAAAACGAAACCTAAAAATATTACATCAATAATTAAAATTTTTTACATTCAATATTTGGTTTATTTATAGTAAATTTGTTGTAGCAACATATGAAAGTTGGCGAAGTCTGAAAAGGATGAAACAGAAACCGGAATTTCTAACTTGGGTTTTTGGTTCATCGTCTTTTTTTTTATTTATTACGGTTTTGTAAAAGCAACAATCTTTTAATAGTAATGATAAAACAGTAATAATAAAGTATTTGCACAAGCATCAATCAAAAGCTGGGTGACAGATCATAATGAAATTTGACTTATTTTATATCTGATTTTTAAAAATTTTTGGGCCTTTTTGTTAGGTTTTTTTTATAGTTAAGGTTTAGGGTTAGAATTATTAGAAAAAGAGTATAGGTGGATTTTGGCAGGGCTTATATGTTAAATTGAGACCTCTAAATTTCACAATGATCTGATTTCATTATGATCTGCAACAATTATTGCAAGGCTTGAACGTAAACACGAGGAAGATATGTGAGAATACGTCAATTACGTTATCATTTGTTCTTATGATTTTTAACAAAGGTCATTACGATCACTAACTAATTAATTGAGTATGCTGCTTGAGAACACTCTTAATAATTTTCTCGATTAACTCTAGGGTCAGGGTCATCCTATATTAGTGTTAGGTTAGGGCTTAGGTAAGCAAAGTTTCTACCTGAGGTAGGTTTAGGCTACCGTTTTTGTATTTTTTTGTTTTTAAAATTCTATAATTTGATTGACTCCTCCACATTTAAAGTTGTTTTGCTCTAAATGATCGGAAAAAAAGTAAAAAAAAACTGATACCTAAACTAATCTTGAAAGCACTAATTAAAAATGATGGGTGCCTAACTTTACACATATAATCACGAACCTAATGAACAAAAGTTTCTAGACTTCTAGAGGAATCGAGGCTATGCAGGCACGTAGTAGATTCAAAAAATCCTCAATTGTCCTATCCCTAGCTCTTCCAAAATAATAGTAACAATAACAATATATTGTCACGGGTTTCCCGTGAATTATTGTCCAAAATCACGCTATTACTATGGTATCTATAATTGCATATATGCTCCGCACGTATGTACTTTTTTTTTTGCTTCATATTTGTTCTAAATTAGATAGTGAGAAAATAAAGAAAGAGATCATTCGGGTGAGTACACTGCAAAACCATGCTTAGAATATATATATTACATATACTTTTAGTATGATTTTTCTGTATACTCACCCATTTGCGATCAGAGTATGTATTTTGCATTCGAAATCACAGATACAAAGATTATTAAAGAACTTGTTTCTAAACTTGTGAGGTATATAAATAAGTGCATACATACGTGTATATGTCGTACTTGAAGTTAGCATCTGCTTGAAGTTGTAACTTCAAGTGCCTGATGCGTGCAAGGAAGATCTAATTTCAGGGATTAAATGTATATGTTGTGTCTCAAATGCATTCGACCAGCCACCCAAAAAGTTAATTCATCATGATTAGATCATGATAATAATAATCACTAAAATATTAATATAATAGTTGATTTAATAAGTGATTTTTTTTTTCTTCGATTCTTTAAAGTGAAGAGCGATCGTTAAAAGCATAAAATCTAATAGACAAACTATTCTAAAAATATATGTTGGTTGCCGTAACCAAATTTCCATTAACAATAATCGAAAAAAGAATGAAAATCGAATAAAAATTTAAAAACTAATCAAGAAAACGCATTTGAACCAGAAAATCTTGGATTATATATAACTCTGATTGTTTATTTGAATCCAGGACGCAGCAACAAAAAATTATTGAAGAAAACAAATAGTAACAAATGGTTCGATAAATTTATTACTTATCGTTATCATTTTGCTAGTCTAAATTTTTTTTTGGTTGTACTTAGTTGTTAAGTTACTTAATTTTTTAGTGCTTTATATATTCGTCCCGTGAAAATCAACTTTTTGGGTGGCCGGTCGATGCATCCTGTGTCAGATGATGCCCGGCCTGAGTTAGGGTGAAACTTACAAGGTAATTTAGGTCAATTATTGCAGATCATTTAACGCTAGTCACCTGGTAATCATCTAGCTACAAGGATCTGGCGCACTTGAAAATTTTCTTTTTTCCCAACACAGGACTGTAACAGCATAATATATTCAGATCTTTTTGTTGGGTGTTTGTACTAAATTATGGGTCTTTTAATCAATGCATTATGGTACATTGGCATATCAAGATCAGGTTGATTATAAATTACAAAGTCTCAACTATTCATTTTAATTCTTGATGACAGAGGAACTCGGATTTTTTTAAAAAATAAGTATTGCATAAAACTTATCACGAAAATTTTGCGTAGATTGATAACATAATGATATTAACATTCATAATTATATTTTCATAATGTGGACATTACGTAACAAATAACAAACCGTATACTTTATTGATATCAAAAATAAAATAAAATAAATAAAAACTTACATATCAAGTACCATTGCTAAAACCCCATTGAAAATTCTTTCTTGCAAGTTTAGTAATAAATTCATCAACTTTAACCATCCCGTCTAAATTCATTATCAATTCTCTATAAGTCTCTAACCCAATATTAACATCATTTCGAGATTTATTATCTACGGTATGATAAATAACTTTATCAATTCCAGCCAAATGAGCAGCTGCGAATTGTAAACATGCCATAATTGAAATATTTCCACCATAAGCACCACATCCCCAATTTCCTGTATTAATAATAACTCTAGGTGCGATTATATCATCTTTTTCGGGAATAATGGTATGTTCTTCATTTTCATATTTTCTTTCCAATACACCAGTTTCTACTAAACTTTCAAATCTAGCAGCCAAAAATCCACTATAAGCTGTTTCAAGAATCATTCTAATAGTACTATTAGTATAACTTCCTGATCCATATTTTGGTGCTTCCATGGCAATAATATTTGAATAATAAGGTTTACCTCTACTATCCAATCTTTCATCAAAAACTGTGGTAGCCAATTTTACAGTATTTTCATTAGATATTGCAAATTGATTCCCATAAAGACCATAAGGTCTACCTTCAGCTTCATTACGGTCAGTTTTAATGAAGGCACGACGTTCTACACCACGAACCAATACAGGTGTTGCAAATGATTTTTCGGATGTAGTCATTCTAGTTCTTGCTTGTGATCCATCTTGTATAGTACAAAGTTTATCACGAAGTGAGCAAAGGGCTGGATGCTCGAGACATTGCATTTCATCTTGTGCGAAAAGAGATCCTCCATAGTATCCAAATACATTTCTAAAATCAAAAATCATGTTATTTTAATTATTATAAACTGTTTGCAAAATGGTTTAATTGTTAAAAAGTTTTTAAATTTCGAGGTTATTATAACGAAATTTAAAAGCTATTTAATTTTAAATCATTTCGTAAAATATCTATATCTACAAAATATATATATATATATTTATAAAATTGAACATACAAGTCAGCAAAATTAATATACCAAACCACTGTATTATCATCATCAGGAGGAGAATAATCAAATATATCATTTAATACTTCAATCTCTAATTTTTCTTTCCTTCCTCCTCCAATAGTATTTTTTTCTTCAACATTAAAACTTTTTGGTAAGTCAAATTGTGTCCAATGTGTATACTTCAAAGTTCCATGAAATGAGTCAGCACCATTTGGACATGCCATATTATAAACTATTTTTTTATTTTCGCAATACCATATTGGTGGGTTTTCTCTTACTAAATCTGAAGCTGGAAATGAATAATAATCTTTTAAGTGGGTGGATATAACTTGTTTAATTTTTTGTAATGTGGACTGTACGATTAATGCCATGTTTGGTAAACTTAACAATCATGGTCAAAGATGATAACCTTTTTATACGTAATAATCATTATAATATTGGACAGTTCAAACCGACTAACAAATATATGAGGCGTATGCAGTATAAGTATTACAACTAATAACGATAACTCATGAATGATTTTTAGTGTCATTCCGATTCGACTCAGAAAATAATGTGTTACAGAATTTTCTATTATGCATTATGGAATTTTCTGTTGTGAAGATCTAAATCACAACGCCATTTTTCGAGAGGTGAACTTTTTTTCTGAAATTGTCGTACATTTTAGGAACTAATGATTAAATTATGATATCTATCTTTATTAGGCGTGATAATACTGTCGATTTTAAAAAAGGGAGATTACCATCAGGATTGTACGTATTAGACAGAATTACCTAAGATGTCCGTTTCTGTAGGAAAAATAACGGTGCTGAAAATCTGTTGGTTTAAAATATGTTATTAAATTATATATTTGACGATTTATTATTAAACAGGAAGTTGTGACGAAGTTTCAAGGATGGAATGAAGGTTTTTTTTTGATCCAAAGCCATCTTTCAACATTTAAACTACAAGTCAATAACATTTAAGTTATTGAAAATTAGCATCCTTCTCGAGTTCGGTGAACAGTTCGTTTAACATGGTCACATATTGTTTAGATGATAAGTCACGCGGAACCGGGATTAAATACCAAAATTCAGTAACACATTCAATCAAAATTGAAAATGATTTTTTTAAAAAATCGCTTGTAACTCGAAATTTAATGTCTTCTACACACTAATCAAAAATGCTTCTTACAGAATCTTACAAGCTAGTATCATCAAATCCTAACCTTACTCTCAAATACATTATATCGTATCTAAAAAAAGACATTGGTTTGACGAAATTTGATTGGATATTTGTGTTGCCTCTTATCTATTTGCACATGTAGTCACAAAGCCATTCAAAAATTTTGTAATATAGCAAATCTTTATATTTTTGGAAAAATGTTACCTTACGCTAAGGCCGAGACATGTCAAATGGCAAACTGGTCACACAATGTGCGTATGCCTAATCCATTCATAACACTATATATAGCGCAATACCCATACATATCGATATGTGCTAATACCGAAAAAGTCATTACCCAATACTATATGATCTTGTATATACACGAAAAAGGGCCGTTACGACGTATTTGTGTAATTTAAGTATTTAATAGACTACAAAGTGCGTCATCTAATAGTTTTTGTTTTGAAATTCTTCATTGTAAAGTCATTGTAAAGTCATATAGGTATCTATATGATTTCACAATGAAAAATATCAGTAAAAAAGGTAAATATCGAGATTATGCTGAAATTTGAACTTATTTAATATGAAATTAAACTTTTTGAGGAGGAGTTCCTTTTTTTTTTAAGTTGGATTAGAGAAAAGAGTATATGTGGATTTTAATAGATCAAGGTCCCAGATTTCAGCATCATCCGATTTTAACATCATCTGATTTTAGTATCATACCGATAGTAAAATGACTACAGTATTCAATTACATAAATGTTCCGTTAATTAAGGACAAAATTGGTCAATTTTACTTTCAAAAAAACTGAGAAAAATAATATTAAGAGTTATTAATGTGAGTGTTAGATTTATAATGAACAAATTACAGATTACGTTTCAAAATTATATATACGTACGTAGTAATTTGAATACGTGGAAGTAGATGCCGATACACAGATCACGATAGACACGTAAATTGTCATATGAAAAATTTGAATATAAATTAATAAAAATAGGATGCGATTTTACCATTATATATGCAAAGTATTATTGACACCAAGCTATTGAATCATTACATATGGTTAGATAAAGTTAAAATTTGGTAATTTTAACAGGAAATGATGCATATCAGTTTGGAAATAAAAACAAGTTACTATGCATTATATACATTACTTTTAACTGCATAATTATAACTAAAAAATATTAACGTTAAATTTTAACGAAAATCAATACGTATTTAAATAAAGTCATACGTAGAAAAATTTGAACCTGTGAATAATACATAATAATAATAATCGCATGCTTTTACAATGATAAATGACTAATGATTGGCTTCACAATTTTATGATACGTATAAATATTAGGTATACAATTGTCCGAATATAAATTATGTCGTGTGACTAACACTAAACGCAGATTATTTTACCATTTAAAAAAAAAAAAAAAAGCTGGTTTTATTTATTCAGTTTATTTTATCCCTTCCAGTTTTCATAAATAGAACGAATTCGACAAAATTTATACTTGTATACATTTAAATTCTCATTCAAAGTTCAAATTTCAAATTTCAGAATTTCTATCTTTATAATATAATTTAAATAAAATCATATAATGCTTAAGATATTCGGAATCTTTAAAAAAAATGGCGCAAGTCCATATCCAGCAGAACTTGAAAAACGGTACAGAATTTCAAAGAATGTTCTTGGTGTTGGTTCCTTCGCCATAGTAAAAGAATGTATGGATAAAGAAACAGGAGAAAGTTATGCATTAAAAATTATCTCAAAGAAAGTAATAAAAAGTATGACTCGTATTAATTATTCGAAAATTTGAACATAGCATATACTTTGAAATTGTATAACGAAATTCATAAAAAAATTTTTATAAAATGTTTATAGAAGGAAAAGAGGACATGCTTACTACCGAACTTGATATTCTCAAAAAAATTCAACATGAAAACCTTGTAAAACTACGTGATCTATATGAAACGAAAGATGGTGTTTATATTGTAACCGATCTTGCAAGAGGTGGTGAATTATTTAATCAACTTTTATTGAAGGGATCTTATACAGAAAAAGATGCCGCCAGTTTAGTACAACAAATGTTAAAAGGAGTAGAATATTTACACGAGCATGGTGTAAGATATTATATTCTATACTTATGAAAATTATTAAATCAATTGAATGCTTCGTATAATACATATATTAAGCGATCTTGGTTTCATTTAGATAGTGCATAGAGATTTAAAGCCAGAAAACCTTCTTTTCAAGGATAAACTAGAGGATTCAATACTGATGATTACAGATTTTGGACTTTCCAAGATATTAACAAAAAATGATGATATATTGATGACAGCTTGTGGTACTCCAGGGTAGGTCAATTTTACGATAAACCTTAGTATCATAAAAATCAAAAACAACCAAATATAAATTGCTTTTTTTTTTTTTTTTTTTTTTTTTTTTTTAACGCTATATTAGTTATGTGGCTCCAGAAGTACTTTTGCAAAAAGGTTATAATAAGCCAGTAGATCTTTGGAGTGTTGGTGTGATCACTTACACTATGTTATGTGGATACCCTCCATTTTATGGGGAAAATCAATCCATGTTACTTCAATCCATCATGGCTGGAAAATATGATTATGAAGAAGAAGATTGGTGTGACATATCTAACGATGGTACGCGTTTTATATTCTTATATTCTTTAACCTATCATTAAATTTATCATGTATTTTATAAACTTATATCTTTATTAATGTAATAGCAAAAGATTTGATTGACAAATTATTATGTTATGACCCACTAAAAAGAATCACAGCAAAAGATGCACTTCAACATAATTGGTTCATTTCAGCAGCAGATGTAAATCTTCTCGATAATGTACGAAAACATTTTTCACCAAAAGATGCTTTCAAAAGGGCTGTTCGTCTTGTTCAAGGTGTAAATCGTTTACAAAGATTATCAAAAATTAAGCACCAAGCTGGTAATGATACTATCATGCAAGAGCATGTGGTCGCCGAAAGTGGGTAATGAACCCATTTTATATCTAACATATTTTTAAGGTTGATTATTAATATTCATGTTTATTACAATGTATCCCGCATTTTATTTTAATAAAAGAACTGAGTAATTTCAATTCGATCGTCAATGCACAGAGATTGGTCTCGTGAAATGTTATTTCAAACTACAGTATATCATTTTTTTTATATGAATAGTGTGTTAAAGTAATTAAATATTGTTGTTTAACTACAATAAAATTTCCCTGTTCCATACCCTCATTCTATATCACCCTATAAGTGCATTTCTTCCCCAAATCCATACATGAACTCAGGACTCCGAGACATGTGCACATCTTGTGTATTCATTGATTTTTGTGTTATTATTAATTTTCCATTTTTATTATAGCAATACATTCACTTTTTTTTACTTATTTATCATTATCGTATTACCTAATATTGTATCATTATTTAGTTCATAATGTATATAATATTCCTTATTTGGGTCGTGACTTTTTGTGTAAATCAGAATTATGCGAACCAGGGATTAGGCTTCCGTTGACCAATCAAACTTCAATATCAAGCATACCATAAGATAGATGTTAATACAGTAGTCCAAAATATAGACTATGAAACCACTTTTTATACATATTATAATATTTCTTTGTGAAATAATATCTTCGAACCCTAACCAAATGACAAGATCCTGTTCCTAACCTAAAATCTCGAAGTTTTTACTAGAAATATTTTGCATGTTCCTACCTGGAGTTGGCCAGCGTTAAAAGTATAATGTAGGCCGACTTGGTGACAAGATTCTGTGAAACTTAGTCCATGTAACGCCAATTGACCAATAGAAACTTCTTAAAATGTAAAATGCAAGATTATGCATTTTATGTGCCATACATAAGGTGAATTATGCGAATATTATTATCCTGGTCACTCTAAAATCAACCAAGTTAAAATCAATAAATTTTGTTTATAAGGATAAATCCGAAGTCAAACAATAAAGAAAATGCAAAAATACGAAAAACGGCAGTCTAAACCTAGGCACTAACAAAAAATGTCGGGAAGGCAAATTTACATATAATCCTGCCCTAACCTTTAATATGTATTAAATTATTCTGACCCAAATATTAATTGTCACGGCTATAGTTGTTAGGCGAAACTTAGAGGTTTCGCCACTGACGAAAGGCAAAACCTAGTTTCTACTTCGCCAAAAAAGAATCAAAAAGACGAAATGGCGAAACTTGGCGAAACTGGTGAAAACATAGCACAACAAAATTGTCCCGGATTTATTGGCTAAGAGCGACGATAAAAAAATTGACTGGAATTACTCAAAATTTTACTAATAAAATCATAGCCGCTCATTAAATGAAAAATTGTTCCTGTATCCTACGCAAATTTCATAGCATTGTTTTTTGTTTTTTTTTTAGACTCAATAGACTACTCCAAGTTTTAAAATGACTGTCATCCCGACAGATCATAACTAATTAATGATAAGCTATCCTGTATTTTGTTATCATGATCAATAACAAAGCTTCTCATGACTGTCGTCACGACAGGTCATCTATTCGTAAATTCTCTTAGCCTTAATAAACGATGAATTGATAATCTTTTACAACGGTTATAGGTAGGATGGGAAGGACTGACAAAATCAGACTAAAAGTTGGATTTGCAAAAGAGATAGAGTTATTTCTACCTCTATTCATTACAATATATAAAGCTTAGTGACACTAAATTATACTAGATAATAATGCTAATACTAACCACATATAATGCTAGCATTAGAGTTTCAGATGAAACTGGTGAATACTAATTAGAGTTCTCAGCATGATAGCCGTTGAGTCTAAAGCATGTCATTAATAACAATAAATAAAGATACAATCTGTATTCTTTGAACTTTAGAAAAAAAAACCTTTTAATCAATTAAATTAATATAAATAAACAATATGATTATGGCATGCATTTGACATGTCAGATTTTTTTATGAGCAATGTTAATATGAGCTTCATTCCGAAAGCTACCTTCCGTTCCTGGTTTTGCGTGACAGCGTCGCGCAGCTACCTTATTACTAATCAGAATTTCCTGATTCTTCGATTTCCCACATAGGTATATGGAAATCGTTGTTCACACCTTTTTGAAAACAGTTGTAATTTGTATTTCACATAATATCTACTCTTTATTGCAAATCTTTTCCCAGCATTAGGAGTTAAACCGTAATTTACTCCTGCAATCATACAATTGTGGTTCAAATTAAATGAATAGTATTTTTCATATATAAACAGTTTGAACAGACCAATACTGCAATAAAAAAGTGTCGTTCTTTATAAATTTTACTTTTTTTTTTTGCGACCTCATAGTAAATATAAGCCAGTAATTATGTCAATATTTAATACTGTAATATTAATCCTGATTCATAATTTTGGATTATTCAAACTAACCTAAATTGGTATTATCCGCAGTCAAAAGAAAAATGTCTAACAAAGATGCAAAAACGCTTAGGTTTTCCAGACAGTTCTTGTCTGAGTTTTGCAATAAAGATATGGGTTCTTCTAGAGGGGTATCTGGATCCTGATAAGCTGAAGACTAACATATCTCAAGTCACAGACTTGGCTGATTTCAAACATATTCTCAAGGACGAATTCGAATTGTTAAAAAAAGTCAGACCGCAAAATATCGTATTTCTAAATAATAACAACATACCTCTTTTACCGAATACTTGCTTACAAACTCTGGCAGACAGTACAACTGCTAAAACACCACTTATTGTTCATTACCCCCTCTCAAATGCAAATAGTAAATGAGCTTTTTTATTTCTCAGTTTTATTTTTCCCACTTAAAATAAGTGCTTATTAGTTTCCACCAAATGTCGTTTCGGTGAACTTCAATTATTTATGTTGTTCAGGCAAATGCAAAATACCGCATACCAGTGGTTCCTTAAGTTTATTACGAGAAGAAGTTGTAAAAAGATTTAAGGAGTTACAGACAAAAGAATTTTACTTTTTCAATGATGAAACAAAAGATGAGATTCGAAACGAGTATAGCTTTAATGTCCTAGTATCTCAGACCGAACCAAATGGTAACGACTATAATCTTAAGCTAAAAGTCAAAGTCGAAGGTAAAAAGTCTTATAGCAATTGGGTCCTTAAGGATGTGTTTAAAGAAATATTAGGACAACCAGATTACGTATCTCTAGGTGATATACCATGATTTAACGTCGATGGTCTCCCTCCGTTAGAACACCCATTTTCTGAGAGCGAATTAAAAATATTTATCAAAGAACTTCATACAATTTTTAATGCATTCCACAAAGAATTCAGTACTAATGAACCAACTGCCCATGTATATATTAATGCCTTCATGAAAGTTGCAGTTTGTTATACATGACCACATAAACAAATCGGCGAAGTTGAGCATAGAAATACCGCTGGATGGAAGTCGTGGGTATGGCTCTGTAGACTATATAGTGGAAATTGGTAGAATTTTGGTGCTGTTGTGTGAAGCAAACTCTGAAGATATGAACAAAGGAACAGCTCAGGTTCTTGTGCAAATGCACAGTGCGAGCGAAAATAAAATCTGTGCTCGGTTTATAATCACGTGATGAAAATCGTTAGAAATTCACTGAACTAGTGCATATATATGCATATTGAAGATCCTTTTTTTATCATTATCGTTGTTACGCATTTACTCAAATCTTTTCTCGTGTGTTATATTAGCATCAGCTTAACTTAATGACTATGTACCGTAGTGGAAACTGTAATATCCGACCTATTGAGCTATGTACATGAATTTCATAGGCAGAAGTTTGTCTGATTGGCTAATAAATTCAATTTAATTTTACATTATTTATACAGTTTAGAGTACTTT